TAAACGAAGTGGTGAGGAAAAGAAGGGGATTCCAGCAAAGGTCCTTCGGTATTTTCCAATCAAGGACAAATTGAAAAGGATGTTTAGATCAAAAAGAATAGCTGAGGATTTGCGTTGGCATTTCAACAATGGTAGTGAAGATGGTATAATGCGACATCCAGTGGATTCGATTACATGGGCACGGGTCAATAATAAGTGGCCAGAGTTTGCTACAGAACCGAGAAACCTAAGACTCAGTTTATCTACAGATGGAATGAACCCTTTCTCTATGCAGAATACCAAATACAGTACATGGCCAGTCTTATTAGTCAACTACAACATGCCTCCAACCATGTGTATGAAGGCCGAGAACATAATGTTGACGCTGCTGATCCCTGGTCCAACTGCACCAAGCAACAATATCGATGTTTATCTAGCACCGCTGATAGAGGATTTGATTGATTTATGGAATGAAGGTATGGAGGTTTATGACTCCTTTATGAAAGAGAAGTTTACACTTAGAGCTTTGTTGTTGTGGAGTATCAGTGACTATCCAGCCTTAGGGACATTTTATGGATGTAAGGTTAAGGGGAAACAAGCCTGTAATGTTTGTGGAAAGGACACACCTAGGAGGTGGTTGAAGTTTAGTAGAAAATATGTCTATTTGGGAAATAGGAAGAGGCTCAGGCCTGGACATCCGTACAGGCGCAAAAAAGGATGGTTTGACAACACTGTGGAGAATGGGACAACTAATAGAATTCAGACTGGGGCAGATATTGCTGAGATATTTAAATATTTCAAGAATGATTTTGGAAGAACTTTGGATAAGAAAAGTAAGAGGAAGAGAGCGGGAGATGCGGTTACTTCAGAGGAAGAGTACGGAGAAGACAGTGATCAATGGAGATGGAAGAAAAGGTCCATACTCTTCCTTTTACCTTACTGGAAGGTTAGTATTTGGTTTACTATATTAATTACAATTGAGTAAACTGTTAAAAAATTATGTATATGCTGAAAGTCTTCTTTATCATGTGTTAGGATTTGCCGGTTTGCCACAACATTGATGTCATGCATGTTGAAAAGAACGTGTCTGACGGTTTGTTGTCCACTCTGATGCATAATGCTAAATCCAAAGATGGCTTGAAGGCCATAAAAGACTTGGAAGATACGGGAATAAGAAGACACTTGCATACTGAATCAAGGGGAAATAAAACTTACTTGCCTCCAGCGGCTTATTGGATGTCAAAAGAAGAGAAGAGAAAATTTTACCTAAGGTTATCTAAGTTCAGAGGCCCTGATGGATATTGTGCGAATATCGCGAATTGTGTGTCAGTGAATCCTCCTGGCATTGGTAGTCTCAAGTCGCATGATCATCATGTGCTAATGCAAAATCTGTTTCCTGTGGCTTTGAGAGGCTTGCTGCCAAAAGGGCCTAGCAAGGGAGGCACGTTTGGGTGGACCGGTACACTTTCGTTGGATGTATCCATTTGAGAGGTACTATACTTTCTTATCTTTTGTGTCTATTAGTTGTCTTTTAATATAGCTTGATTAGTAACATTTTGTTCTGTGATTGAGTTGTAGGTATATGAAGACACTTAAAGGTTATGTCAAAAAATATGCAAGGCCAGAAGCTTGTATGGCTGAGAGCTACTTGGCTGGAGAATGCATAGCCTTCTGCTTAGACTTTTTAAAGAATTCTGCACCTGTGGAAGAAGCAGTAAAACGAAATGAAGATGTCGAGTCTGATGATGTTATCCTTGAGGGTCGCCCACTGCAGAAGGCTACTGAAATTAAACTTTCAGATAAAGAGAGAGATATAGCCCATCTGTATGTGTTAATGAACACATCAGTTATGGAGCCATATGTTCAGTAAGTTTAGTTCTATTTATAATTTATATAGTCATGCAATATTTATTCATGAAAATTAACTGCTAAATCTTGATATACAGGATGCACTTAGAAGAATTGCAAGCTAACGATGTCAGATGTGCAAGAAATGAAACTTTATTACGCAAATTTCATACAGAAAGGTTTGCACAGTGGGTAAAGGAAAAGGTATGATCTTTATTTTTCAATATGCAAGGCCATAAGTTTTGATTTAATCAGCCTCATTTGTGGCTGCAACTAACTCTGCATTTTCAAATTATAGATACCTTCTAACTCAGAGGTTCACTCTAAGAAGCTGAGGTGGCTGGCATTTGGACCAAGACATATTGCTCAAAGCCATAAGGGTTTTGTCATAAATGGACATCGATTCTACACTGATGATGTTAAGCGGGAGACTCAGAATAGTGGAGTCACATATGAAGCCTTTTCTATGTGTAGAGCAAGTGCATGCGATAGTAAACAGATGGCGGACATAGTTACATATTATGGAGTGATCAAGGAGATCATTCTGGTGGACTACCACATGTTCCATGTTCCTCTATTCAAGTGCAGTTGGGCTAACACAGGGAATGGTGTAAAGGAAGAAGAAGGATTTACTATTGTCAACTTTCATCTTAAGCAGACAGCGTTTCTCCGAGATCCATACATACTGCCATCGCAAGCAAAACAAGTGTTTTACTCTAGAGAAGATGAATCTTCTCCATGGTATGTAGTTATGAGGGCGCCACCTAGAGGATATCATGAGCTAGAAACAGAGGAAGAGTTTGTCGCAGCACCAGTGTTTGACCAGCAAGTTGAAGATTTGGGGAACCAGTCGTCTGATGATGAGAGTTATTGTGTTAGGGATGACTGTGATGGAGTGCTAGTGGAAGATTAATAGCTACAACTATATTTTGAAATAAAACATTGAGTACCAGAATTAATGTGAAATATTTATTGTTGATTTTGTTTCAGGATCAGTCATGGCAATTACAAGAGGAGGAGGAAATCTCCGCCGTAGTAACCATCAGGCAGGAAGAGGTGTGACTCTTGTCGTTGTGAAGAAAATTTCAAAAAAGTCAAAGAAAAAGGAAGTTCGAGAGGTGATTAGTTTGGAATCAGATGATCAAGTTGTGGAGGAACCAATGAGTACAGCTGTTAGAGGAGAAGAGCAAAGTTCTGTAAGAGATGTTGAAAAACCAATGTCTGAAGGAGAAAAAGAAGATGGTCAAGTAGAAATGGATGAAGCAGCTGCAGGAAAAGAAGATGAACCTGTAATGGCCGAAGGAGAAAAAGAAGATGGTCAAGTAGAAATGGATGAAGCAACTGCAGGAAAAGAAGATGAACCTGTAATGGCCGAAGGAGAAAAAGAAGATGAAGAATTAGAGGTAGACTCTGACAAAGAAAAGCGTGGAGTTGATGGAGAAAATGATCAAGAACCTGCTGAAGGTGGAGAACAGTCCCAGCCTGCTGGAGGTGAAGAACCTTCCCAGCCTGCTGAAGGTGAAACTGTGGATGCTTCCACTGGAGGAGGCTCACCCCAGAAGTCTAACTCGACCACAAAGAGAACTAGGGGACAAACAAAAATGCGTAAAGTCGCAAAAGACCCGCTTGCAAAGGTTGAGGTAGATTTTACTTCCCTTGGTGAACATTGCGGTTCTGGATCAGTAACACTTTCATCATTCCTTGGTCCTCTGGTGAGGGAGCATGTTACAGTACTACTCGATGATTGGAGGAAACTCGATGAACAAACAAAGGACACAATGTGGGAGGAAATTCAGGTAAAGTGTTTTTTATCTTCAATATTTCTCATTCATTACTTTGTATCACTGTCATGTAACCTCACATTTATTATAGGGGAGGTTTAATTTGCAAGAGGAGTGGCAAAAACAAACTGTTCTTAAGCAGATGGGTTGTGTGTGGAGGGCATCTAAATCTAAACTTGTGGGCCAAATTCGAGCGGCGGGAAGTCACGCAGAGCGATTAAGGCTTAAACCAAGCAACATCCAATATCTTGGGAAGTGGAACAATTGGGTTAAGAACAAGACTAGTACAGAGTTTAAGGTGCACTCTTGTTTTATTTATCAAATAGTCTGTGATAAATGTATTAACTGAGCAGATTAAATACATGTATGTCTGGTTGTGGATTGATTTTGTAGGAGAAAAGTGAGAGATACAGGAACTTGAGGAGGGCTCAGATTCCACACACCACTAACCGCAAAGGAATGTTTCGACTGGCACATGATTTGGTTAGTATCTTTCTCTGTATTTATAGATTTGTATTGTGTCTTTCTCTGTATTTATAGATTTGGTTAGTGTCTTTTGGTTGATTTTTTAATTTGTATATATAGAATAAGCATATGTTGTATCACTTATGTTAGTACTACTTGTAGAAAAAAAAAAGAGTTCAGACCCAAAAAAGGTGACTCGAAGTAAGGTATGGATAGCAGGACACACTCACAAGGATGGAAGACCTGTGAAGCCTGAATTCGTAGAGACTATTGTAAGAACTTACCAAATTGTACTCTTGTTTTCATTACAAAAGATTAGACATTATTGGTTGATATATATATATATATATATATATATATATGTGTGTCTCAGGAACAAATAAAAACAATCGATAGTCAAATGGAGTCCACAGCCAATGATAACATAAGTGAAGATGCTGTCAGTCAAGTTTTGGGGAAAGATAGACCTGGGAGAATTAGAGGTTTGGGAAGAGGGATTACTGCAACCAAACTAGCATTCCTACAGGCTAGAGACACACATGTGCAAAATCTTGAAGCAAAACAAGCCGAATTGCTTAGCCAGATTCTAGACCTGAAAAATGTAGTCAATGACTTAGCTGGAAAAAGGGTAAGTGTGCTAATTTTTCTATATATGAGGCCATTTGAAGAAGCACAATTAACTAACAATTCTCTATCTTCTGGTCAGAAACACTCTGAAACTATGGGAGCTCATTTTGAGGTTAGTGATGTCAGTAGAGGAGTTAGGTGTCAGCTGCTTGAATGGGGTTCAACAGAAGATGTTATTGTCGGGGAAGGAGAATTCTGCTCTGCTGATCCAGCATACAAGATTGGTCGCATTCCACTTGGTCCCAATGCGGCAGCTGTTGTTGTCAAATCTGTAACAGAAAAAGATTCACCATTGTGGAGGCCTACCCCAACCATGTTCTCACTTGGGGAAGCTGTGGGACTCAAAATTCCTTGGCAAGCTGATAAGGTGATTTTGGATGACAACTACCCAAAAAGTCCAAATAGAACTTCTGTTTCCAAGGTAATCTTTATAGACTTTAATTACTTTATTTTCACACCTTGGAAGCTAAATTGTAGATGCTAATATATATGAATCACTTAGGAGACAATATCAGATGAGTCAATTCAAAGATGCAAAGTTTTTGATTGGAATTCTCATGGTGAAGTTATTGCTGAGGGTGTTTTATGTTCCACTGATCCTGCCCAAATGGTCGACAACATTCCCCTTGGTAAAAATGCTGCCATTGTGAAGATTGACCTTATTGTGAAGCGTGCGTCTTATGTGTGGAGGCCATCAGCTACAGTACTTGTGATCTCTGATGCACTCGATCAAGAAGTCCCATGG